ACAAATCGATCGACAGTAGTTAACATGTCTAATTTGGCTGAGTTTGTCTGTTTCAACTGTAGTAGAATATTAATAAAAAATTGATACCAAATAAATTTTGCTGATTGTTTTGTTAAATTCTGACTTGATACTTCTTTCATAAGAAAATATTTTGTTTCTTTATGTTTTATGCGCAGATCATTAATTACTTGATGTATTAGAACATGTTTATCGACGAAACCTCCCTGAATTTTTGGGGATATTGGCGAATACTCGTCTTTGGTCAGTTTTTCCTGTTTTAATATATATATTGATGTTATTTGTCGTAATTCATAAATCAATGGTATAAGATGAGCGCCGACATGCTCTGATATAATCAAATGAACGGTATTCTCTTCCTCTTTCGCCGTAATATAATTAACACATTCATCTCGATCCTCAAATCTTTTAATATAATTCTGAACTGTACCAAAGTTTTCCAAGCCATAATAATTAATGTTTACATTTAATAAAACAATACTTAAATTTGAGCTTGTTTCTTCTTCATAACGATGACGCAATCGGGTGAATAATATCGGTTGGTTGTTGTTCTCAGCCATCTGGTTTGTGTATTGGATGAAACTTGTTGTGCAAAAAACGGAATAAAGAAAAAGATGTGTTAGATGATCGTTTAAACTACTCAAAAGAAAAGTTTAATACGCATAAGAAAATAAATAAGGACAAAACAAAAACAGAGACCTGCCTTTTATTTTACTGGTCGAACTGCTTCAACTTCAAGAAGAATAAGTAGTATGATCTGTAGAAAAGAAAAACATCGAATTTCTCTCCAGTCCATGTAATTTTGATAGGGCCTATGTCAACGTTCTTGATTAATCATCGAGTTAACGATGTAGAGCAATTGCGGTACATCGGAGAAGCTTACATTTTCCTTTGAGTTTAACAGTAAGAATACGATTCATCCGACCGTCCTAAACCCAACGCCAGAAGAAATTCCAAGGCTTCGGAATTCCAACACCGTTCATAGCTCTCGAACCATGAATTTGCAAGGTGTCGCTTAGATACAATTTTGTAGAAGGCACTTCGGACTATTCGCTGCAGAAACGCTTTCAATAACTATTTTTGATTAGGAAAATATAACCTCAAGTGTCCTTTTTCGATTGCTGGAAACCGCAAGTTTCTATCTTTTGTCGTCTTTGAGTTATTCGATAAATAACCGAGTGCATTTCCATCCATACATATCCAAAGAATCATCATTTTTTCAAAGCTTTTACTGAACTCCATAGTACTGAGCAGACAAAATAGAGTACCTGTTGATATTATGACATGACTTAGATGGATCTTGGCTAGGTTATGGATTTTTCGATTTTACTTAGAAATAGGCCAAAATGTATAAAAGTGAAAGTGTTTGTGTGTGTGTGTGTCCGTACACGGGGTGTGACGGACGTAAGCACACACGGTGACGGACGTACATACATATAGTGACCAGTGAGTGTGACGGACGTACATACATAGAGTCACTAATGAGTTTGACGGACGTACATACGTATAGTCACTGACGAGTGTGGTGGACATAGATGCACATAGGTCGATGCGTTCGAGTTTTCTGTGGTAGCAGAGAAGTATAACACTTATCCTGGCTGCGAACGCGGACCGA